CTTTCCCTGTTCCCCCATGGCAATATTTGCTCCAGGGGCAGATTCCTGGACAGCAGCTGGGATTAGCAGAGAAAGTTTCTTTTAAATCAGATTTGCATTTCTGACCCCTGCGGCTCTCTTGGGTACGATTGAGAAAAGCAGGGGATTCAAACACTGTTCTTAAGGTCATTTTTAACGGGGCACCGTCCTTGTTTCATTTTATGTAGGGCACTGAGGCGTCCTGTTCAAGTAAGAGCTGGGAAAGTCCTTTCCTGGGTGCCTTAAGACACCTTGGAAATTGGGCTGGTGGTGACCCTTGTTCCGCCTCCCTTTGCTTCATTGGTCTGATACTTTGTCCACAAGGAGAACAGTCCACAAGCAAAGGGTGGTAATTTGTTGACAGAGAACAAACCAGAGCTTTTGGTGACCCCGTTAACGTTTTAAATTCATTCAGTTGTTAAAAATAAGCTGACGGGTTATCCATCCAATCTTACCCATCCAGTTAATCTATCAAGGGCTTTTTTTAAAAAAAAAGAGTTGCTGGAACTCTCAAGAGGAAAATGAAGTTTTCAACGTGTATACTGAAAACTCACAATTTTTAAAAAACATTTCAAAATGAAGTGTTTGTCCAGGCCCTGCTTGAAGACTGCCAGTGGGGGTGGGAGCCCCACACCTCCCTACGGAGCTGATTCCACCGCTGCACAACTCTTACTGGGAACCCCCCCCCACCGCCCCCTAATATCCAGCCAGTACCTTTCTGCCCATAATTTAAACCCAATTCCAATTCCAATAACCTTGACTGGCATAACAATAATTTTTAAAAGAAAACAGTGCAAATCAGCCCATATGCCAAATAAAAAAACAGAGTACAGCGATTTGTAACATTGTATATAGTAATAATAATAGGGCAAAATGATAAAAGTTCGGAACAGTAATCTCGAGCATCACAGTAATTCCCTTCTGGGCTTTGGGAGCTCTGCAGGCACCGACATAGGACTGGGTTCCATGCTGGAAGTGGATGCCCCAGAGAGGAGGAGAAGGAGGAGAAGAAGAAGGAAAGGAGGAGGAGGAGGAGTAGATTAGGTTTATACCCCGCCCTTCACTACCGGAAGGAGTCTCAGAGCGGTTTATAATCTCCTTTCCCTTCCCCGCCCCACAACAGACACCCAGGGCCGGCCTGAGGTTTTTTTGGGCCCTAGGCAGGACTACTTTCTCCCCCCCCCGGCGTGCGCCCCAATTACGGGGTTGCCAACCTCCAGGCAGGGCCTGGAGAGAAGGAAGTCCAACTTCTCTCCCACCTGCCCCCCAGCTGACTTCCCCACTGCCTGGACTCATGTTCTGCTGCCATCCTCTGGAGCGCGGCAGCCAGCCTCCCTGGCTATGGCACCCGGAAAGAGAGCTGCGGCCGCCCCAAGCAGGGCGGTCGTCTGCGCACCAGCCCCGACAGGCCGAAACCTCCTGGGGCCCCTACTCGCCTGCGTGGCTCTCCCTCTGGCCCACCTCGGCTGCACCCCCTCCCTGCGTGGAGCTCCTCCGGGCAGCGCTCAAACCTCGCCAGGTCAGCTGCTTTGTTGGGGGTTTTTTGGACGGGGGGTGGCAGGAAGAGGCAGAAGGAAGGAAGCGGGCGTCCCCGTCCAAACCCCCAGTCGACGATGCCACCACCCCGCCTTCTCCTCCTTCCTCAATCCCTCCTCTCGTCCCGCCACCTCAGGAGCAGGGCCCGGGTGGGGAGGCGGGGCTGGAGCGCAGCCCCAGCCGAGAGTGAGCCCACCGCCTACCCCACAGGCTGCAACAATCACTGGACAGGCTGCTTCTCGGGGGGGGGGGCGCATCTGCGCAATGAAGCGGGGAGGAGCGAGGAAAGGCGCAACCCGCCTTTGTCGACCCCTTTAGTGCCGCACATGCCATGCGGCTGGGAGCGGCAATGGCGCATGAGCTTTTTTTTGGGGGGAGGCGCAGTTCGGCGCCCCATCCAGGGCCCGGCTCTCTAGGCGAATGCCTAGTTCGCCTAGTGGGTGAGCCGGCCCTGCAGACACTCTGTGAGGTAGGTGGGGCTGAGAGAGCTCTTAGAGAACTGCCCTTGAGAGAACAGCTCTGAAAGAACTTGTAACTGACCTAACGTCATGCCAGTAGCCACATGTGGAGAAGCGGGGAATCAAACCTGGTTCTCCCAGATTACAATCCGCGCTCCTAACCACTACACCAAACTAGTTCTCATCTTAAGGAGATGCACTCAGAAATAACCCAAATGTTATTCACTGGGCCTTACTTCCAGGAAAGCTTTCTTTTAAAAAAAATTTATTTATTACTTTTATACATACTGATTTGTTCATTATATATACATACATCTTAGAGTCATTCATCAATTTTCTAACCATTTATACATTCCCGACCATCGTTTTACAAAAATTTCATCTTTTTTTCCCTTTAGCATTAAGCTCAATTTATCTATTTCAGCTACCCTCATCAGATTCTCTATCACTTCTTCCTGTTTCGGGGTATTATCTTGTTTCCAGTATTTTGCCCATTTTATCCTAGCTATGGTTATTATATATAATATTAAACATTTTTCATTATAATTGATACTTTCTGGTAGTATATTAAGTAAAAATATTTCCAGCCGTAGCTCAAGTTTCACCTTCGTTATTTCTTGTATTATTTTCTGAATAAATGTCCAGAATTACAAAAATTCAGGAAAACTTTCTTAAGACTACAGACAAAATGTATTTCAAAATAGGGCTCCATTAAAAAGTTGGACAGGAAATTTTATTTATTAAATTCAGTTTTTATACTGTCAGATAGTACTAAATGTACTTATTAAAATACTTTTACCCCACCTTTCCCCATCATTCAAGATGTTTTCCAAATCTCAGCCAACTCTCCTTCCTTAAGCCCCCATCCTGTTTTATTGCTTTTTCCCTTTAAACATTCCCCTTTCCCAAAACCTCTTCCTCAGATGGGATTTCAGGGTTGCCAACTCCAGATTGTGAAATTCCCTGATATTTGAGGATGGAGACTGCGGAGGGTGGGCTTTCGGGAGGGGAGTGATCTCAGCAGCATATATACACCATCCAAAGCAGCCATTTTCTCCAGGGGAGCTGACCTATGTAGAGTGGAGGCTGGCAATCCTATGTCAGATGCATTGTTGAAAAGGAATGTTAAACAGATTCCTTCTGTTCTCTGTACCACACAACTGACTCCAATTAATCATATAAGACTAAATGGATTTTTCTTTTGCCTCACTTGCAAGAATGCTCATGGAGTTGAGAAACCAAGGCATTAGGAGAGCCAGTTTGGTATACTGGTTAAGAGAGCGGACTCTAATCTGGCAGAACTGGGTTTGATTCCCTACTCTTCCACATGCAGCCAGCTGGGTGACCATTCATACTACAAGTCAGTGACAGGTTCTCTCAGAGCTGTTCTCTCAAGAGAACAGGTCTCCCCACCCCTTTCTACTATATTGGTAGACCTGGCCTCCGGATACGGCTGCCAAGTGGGGGTGGGGGGCAGGTAAACCCCCACTTTGGAGGCCCGATTTCTGACACCATGGAATTGGGCCCCAGGGGGAACCCCACCCCTGCGTGCGCGTCACCAGGAAGTTACGTGGGCACGCTGGGGGCAGGGCCACGGCCATACAAGGGAAAACTCTATGGTTTTCCCTTGTATGGCCGTGGCCCCGCCCCCAGCATGCCTGGCGTCCTCCCGTCACTTCTGGGTGATGTGCGGCCACCGGCCAGGAGCCCCCTACTCCCGGCGAAGAATACACTTGGCAACCCTACCTCCGGAGAACAGGTCTACCTGCCCCAATCCACTATATTAGTAGACCTGGTCTCCAGGGGTCTAGCCACCGCAGTCCATTACATTGGTAACCTGGCCTCTGGAGAACAGGTCTACCCACCCCAGTCCACTATATTGGTAGACCTGAGCTTGGACCGTCGCATTGTGCTGACCCTTAGAAAACATACCAGTACTTAGGGGAGAAAAAACTCTTGCAGTCTACTTTAGGATTTTAAAGTGCAATATGACAGCCAGCATTACAGGTCAAGTATCCCAGAGGTGGAACAATCACAGTCAGAACCCTGGTTAACCTAACAAACAGGAAGTTGCTTAAATGTTATCAACCTGCCCAAAATATTTATTCAAATACTTATATCCCACTTTTCCCTGTGACTCAAGGCAGCTTACAAATAATACAGAAAAGCATAATAGGGTTGTGCAAAAAAATCACGTTCCCCCCCCCCCCGGCTCAATTATAGCCTATGGGGACCATTATAGCCAATGACCCCCATAGACTATAATGGAGAATTGATCTGGGTGTATCTGGGCCTCTGGGGGCTGTTTTGTTTGAGGTAGAGGCACCAAATTTGCAACATAGCTGCTGGTGCCTCTCCTTAATCCCCACCCCAGGATTCAAGAGGATTGGACCAGGGGGTTCAATTCTATGGGCCCCAGAAGGAGGTGCCCCCATCTTCAGTTGTTGTTGTGAGTTGAAGCTAAATGCGCTGAGCAGCCCTCTGAAATCTTGTGTGCCAGTGCACCCTAGTGCAACTTAGAGGGAACTGTGCTCACAGTGTGTCTGCTGTGGGGAAGGGAAGGGAAAGGAGATTGTAAGCTGCTCTGAGACTCCAAGTGAAGGGTGGGGTATACATTCAATCTCTTCTCTTCTTCTTCTAGTCGGTCCAAAAGCCCTAGGGTATACCAGTGTTCCTGACAAGTGCCTCTCCCCTTTGAACCTCTGAAAGGGCAATTCCATTACTTCTCCAAGCACCCTGTTCCTGAACTGCCGTTAGAATAAACAGGTTGTTCCCTCACATTTACCATCAACTGGTCTGCTGATTTAACATTTTGCTTCTTTTCGTTCTCTTTGCCCAGAAGGAGTGCACGTTGAAGCCTCTGAGCCTTCGGAAAAGACTTTCCCTCGGCTGTGGTTGAGAGCATCCTGTGGTAACCGTGTTGGAGGCCCAATACAGATCACCCCAGCCCTTTTGCGCGGAGCCCAGCTCATGAAGCTGGCATCTGGGGGCAGCCCAGCAACTTCCTGAGAAAGAGACTTCCCAGGTCCAAGGCACCGAGCTGGAAAGACTTAGAAAAATGGCTGCCAGGGTTGAGACCGGATCCACGCTTGGTGTTCAGGCTCTGACAGAGCCGGCCCTCCAGGAGGCCGATGCCCTAGGAAGGCCGGCCAGTCTGCCCAGTGTGGTGCAGTGTGGCACAATGGAAGAGCTGCTCCGTCAGGTGGCTCCAGAGCAAGCGCACGCTGTTACGCCACAGTGCTGGGAGGACTCTTGGCAGCGGGTGTTACAAGCCATGGGGACCCAGTTCTTGCCTTGTATCTCCACGAATGAAAACTTGCAGTCTAGGGAGGCCCATTGTCTTCCGACGTGCTCGGAACCAGCAAGGACGTCTGAGGAGGTCCAAGGCACTGAGTTGGAAGACATGGCTGCCAAGGTAGAGACCGGATCCACGCTTGCTGTTCAGGCCCTGACAGAGCCGCCCCCCCAGGAGGCCGATGCCCTAGGAAGGCCGGCCAGTCTGCCCAGCGTGGTGCAGTGTGGCACAATGGAAGAGCTGCTCCGTCATGTGGCTCCAGAGCAGGCGCACGATGTTACGCCACAGTGCTGGGAGGACTCTTGGCAGCGGGTGTTACAGGCCATGGGAACCCAGTCCTTGCCGTGTATCTCCAGGAGTGAAAAGCTGGAGTCTAGAGAGGCCCACCGTCCTCCAACATTCTTGGAACGAGCCAGGACATCTGAGGGGTTCCTTACAGGTGTAGATGCCTCTTCTGAGGCAGTGCCAGAATGGTCACTCTCACTGAACAACACGTGGGCGCTTAAATTCCACCTGGAGGATGATATTGAGGCCTACCTGGAGGCCTTTGAGGGAGTGGCCCACGCCTGCCAGTGGCCCAGAGAAGAGTGGGTTGCCCGGCTGAAGGCGTACCTGAGTGGCCAAGCTCTTCTGGCCTGCAGAGTCTCCGAGTGCCTCTCTACTCAGGACTACCACCTAGTGAAGGAGAGAATCCTCAACCGGTACGGCGTCACTCTAGAGAAACAACGGCAACGCTTCAGGCAGTTCCGGTACCAGGAGGCTGAGGGGCCCCGAGAGGCGTGTAAGAAGCTGCGGGCACTCGGGCACCGCTGGCTGAAGCCAGAGAAACACACCAAGGAGCACATCTTGGAGTTGCTGATCTTAGAGCAGTTCCTGACGATCCTGCCACAGGAAATGCAGAGCTGGGTCAGGAAATGTAGCCCCGACACCTGTGCCCAGGCGGTGGATCTCGCCGAAAGCTTCCAGCTGGGAAAGCAGGTAACTGAGCAGAGAGATGGGGAGGACTTGCTCCCTGTGAGCAAGGAGGCCGCTTTGTATTCATTTCTTTGTCGACCTCGAGATATTCAGAACACAAGAAGCACCTTGCTGGATCTAGGCTCGCAATTCCTGACAATTTGGGGGTGGTGCCTGAGTAGGGTTGCCAAGTGTATTTTAGAGCCCGGCGGGGGAGCCTTGCTGGGCTCCGGGAGGTGTCCGTGGATGCGCGCGCCGCCAGAAGTGACACGCGATGTCGATCACGTTGGGGGCGTGGCCCCGATCGTCGGAGGGAAAACCATAGAGTTTTCCCTCCAACGATCGGGGCCACGCCCCCAACGTGATCGACGTGGTTGCGTCACGCCACGCTTCGAGGGGCGGCGTTCCCCCTGGGGCCCGATTCCGCAGCAGCGGAAATCGGGCCTCCAAAGTGGGGGTTTACCCACCACCCGCCCCCACTTGGCAGTAGGGTTGCCAAGTGGCACTTACCCTGCCGGCGGGGGACTCCTGTTTGGCTCCCGGGGTGTGTGTTTCCCTTGTATGGCCGTGGCCCCGCCCCCAGCGTGCCCGGCGTCATGACGTCACTTCCCTGTGACGTGCACGCTGGGGCGGGGTTCCCCCTGGGGCCCGATTCCCTGGCGTCGGGGAATGGGCCTCTGGGGCGTGGGGATTTCTGCCCCCCCGGGGGGACTTGGCAGCCCTACTTGGCAGCCCTATGCCTGAGGAGAACACAGTTTGGGGAGGAGGAGAGGGACCTCAACTGGGATATAATGCCATAGATTCCCCCCTCCAAACCAGCCATTTTTCTCCCATAGGAGCTGATTTCTGTGGACTGGAGATAGGATTGCCAACCTCCACGTAGGGCCCAGAGATCTCCCAGAATTACAACCGATCTCCAGATGACAGAGAAAATGGCCGCTTTGGAGGGTGGACTCTATAGCAATATACCCCGCCGAGATCCCTCCTCTCTCAAAGCCCAATTCTACCCCCCCAAAAAAAAAAAATTCCAGGAATTTCCAACCTGGAGCTGGCAACCCTCTCTGGAGACCAGCTGGAGAATGCCAATTCTAGCTGGATGAGACCAAAGGCCCAACAAGTCCAACACCCGTTTCCTACAGTGGCCAACCTGACGAGTTTGGGATAGGGTTGCCAGATCCCCTCCTCTCTCTGGTGCGGGGATTTGGGGGTTGTTCTGGGATGTCCCCAATGTGATGATGTCACCCGGGGGCTCTAGTTTGAGGGCAAAACTGTGGTAAAACTGGCTTAAAACCATAGAGTTTTGCCCACAAACCAGAGTGTCCCCGCGCAACATCCTCAGTGTGATTATGACATTTTTGAGGTGGGTGTTTGGTAGGGTTGCCAAATGTGATTTTCTTACCGGCGGGGGTTCCTCCGGCTGGTCCGGGAGCCGCTGGGGGATGTGTGCGCGCGCGCCGCCAGGACGTCACCGGAAGTGACGTCACACGCTGGGCGGGGCCACGCCGTTTGAGGGGAAAACTCTTTGTTTTCCCCTCAAACGGCGTGGCTCCGCCCCCAGCGTGCGACGTCACTTCCGGGTGACGTCCACGCGGGGGTGGGGGTTCCCCCGGGCCCCGATTCCGGCGCGCCGGGAATCGGGGTTTTTGGGGTGAGGTTTCCCCCACTGGCCAGCAGCAGGCAGAACCCCCCCAAAACCACGGGAAACCCCACCCCAGCCTGGGGACTGGCAAACCTACCTTTGGAAGCCCACAAAGAGGGTATGAAAGCAGTGACAACCAGGGCTTTTTGGGTAGAAAAAGCCCAGCAGGAACTCATTAGCATAATAGGCCACACCCAACAGCAGGAACCTATTAGCATATTAGGCCACACCCTGACAACCCAGCTCATGAACCTTTTAGGCCACACCCCCATGTTACCAGAAGTTAGGTTATCCAGCCACACCCTCCTTTTGCCTCTTATTCTGTTCACCTTGTTTGTTGTCCAAACCCAGGGCTTTTTTTGTAGCAGGAACTCCTTTGCATGTTAGGCCACACACCCCTAATGTAGCCCATCCTAATGAGTTTCTGCTATTGGGTGTGGCCTATTATGCTAATGAGTTCCTGCTGGCCAACTTGGGAGCCAGCCGGAACTCCGTTCTTGTGCAGTCCTGCCCAAAAATAGCCCTGGTGACAACCCTCAGAGGTGCCACAGAGTAGCTTGAATTCTTTGGGGTGAGGTAGGGGGAGGTGGTGGCCTTGCAATAGCCTTTGGGTTGGATCCAGCCAGCTTTTCTGCTGGTAAAAAAGGGAATATTCCCTTTTAGCACCTAAAAAAGCTATACTGTGGATCATGGACAGAAGCCCCCCCCCCGGGGGGGGGGGGCGGAGCTGTGTTAAGGAGAAAAATGGGGTGAGATTGAGTGGGGAAATCTGCCTGGATCTAACCTCTTGTGTCTGGGGACACTGTTCAGATTTCACAGCTGAGCTGGGGCTGGCTGCTGAGTCGTTCTTACTGCTGTATCGGAAGACTGGGAAAAGGGCCTTTCCCTCAGTGTATTTTGGGCCTGGTGGAGCCTGGCTTGTGTTTTCCCTTTCCATTTCTAAACAGATGCTTCTTTCCTCTCCCTGAAGCCACCGGTGCCGTTCAGAGAGGTCTGCGTGAAGTTCACCGACACCGAGTGGGCCTTGCTGTCAGAGGAGCAGAAGGCGTTGTATTGCGAGGTCATGCTGGAGAACTTCCGGAATGTGTCCACACTGGGTGAGAATCGGCCTGCTCTCTAGGCTTCTCTCTTGTGTGTCCCTTGCAGCAAGCGCCAGGGCCGACTCTTTCCTAGTTCCCTCATCAACCCTGGGGACCTTAACTACATTGTACAGTGGGTTGGATCCATCCAGCTTTTCCACCTAGTCTCACCCAGTTCCCTTCCACGTGACCACCCCCATCCCACATGGCTTTGGTAGATGTAGGTTTCATGACCCCAGCAAATGATCAAGGGGATGTGTGTGCTTCCTTACCTTTTCACCACCAGAAAAAGCTGGTTGGATCCAACTAGGGATGCCAGCCTCCAGGTCAGGCCTGGGGATCCCCTGGAATTATGGCTGAACTCCAGATTATAGAGATCAGTTCCCTTGGAGAAAATGGATGCTTTGGAGAGAGGACTCTATGGCATTGTACCCCACTGAGGCCCCTGTCCTCCCCAGGCTCCACCCCCAAATCTCCAGGAGTTTCCCAACCTGGATCTGGCAACCCTCCCCCCCATCCCTGGGGGGGGGGTCCCCGCCAGCCATAGATCCAACCCATTGTCCCCCATCAAGCAGACTTCCTCTGGGAAACTTGACTCCATAGCTCGTGGGGGCCCAATTCAGATCAGGACCATGGTACCTTCCCCTCTGCATCGGCCTCCCAGCTAGAAATGGCCTGTGTGCCAGGTATTATCCCCAGCTGAAGACAATTGGCCGCAGTACATGGGCATTCAGTCAGTAAGCATGCAGCCCTCAGTGTGGCAAAGAGCAGTACCCTGGGGCCATGTCAGGTCTGGAAATCATTGTTGCAAATTTTTGTTAGGCATTCAGAGAACTTTTCCTGGGGTCCCTTGAACCATGATCCCTAACAGTTAAAGCAGGTCTTAAATGTGTTATAGAGACATGCCAACTGGAACAGCCTTTCTTGGTTTTGACTTTAAGCAGACTCTGCTCACACCCTGACAGATCTCCCTTCTCTCTCTTTTGCAGGAGTTCCTCAGCAGAAGCCCAGGTTAATCACCCAGATAGAGGAAAGGGGAGAACCACGTTTCCAAGGTGAAAGCTCAGCGACCATAAGAGAAGATTCTTCAGAAGGTCAGTTCAAGGGAGGGGCTTCACCTCCTGCGGCAGCCATTTTGTGGTTGGCTCCACCTCCTGTAGCAGCCATTTTGTGGTTGACTCCACCTCCGGTGGCAGCCATTTTGTGGTTGGCTCCACCTCCTGCGGCAGCCATTTTGTGGTTGGCTCCGCCTCCTGCGGCAGCCATTTTGTGGTCGGCTCTGCCTTCTGCAGCAGTCATTTTGTTGTTGGCTTTGCCTCCTGCAGCAGCCATTTTGTGGTTGTGCCCACCATCCCGTGTCAGAATTCCAAACGTCCTCACAGGCTCAGAAAGGCTCGGGACTCTCCTCGTTTAGGGTGTCTCCCAATGCGCATAATTCCAATAGTAAACTATCTGTGGAAGTTCAATAATCATGGAACCCACAGACTGAAATTAGATCAAAAGAGTTTTCAGATAAACATTAGGAAGAACTTCTTGACGGTTAGAGTGGTTCCTCAGTGGAACAGGCTTCCTTGGGAGGTGGTGGGCTCTTCTTCTTTGGAGGTTTTCAAACAGAGGCTAGATGGCCATCTGACAGCAATGCTGATTCTGTGAACTGAGGCAGATCATGAAAGGGAGGGCGGGAAGGGTTGCCTCGGTGCTTAGTTCTTGTAGCCCTTTCTTACACACCCAGGGAAATGCCGATGGCCACTTTAGGGTCAAGAAGTAATTTCCTCCAGACCAGTTTAGCCAGGGATCCTGGAGGGTTAGGGTTTTTTTTGGGGGGGGGGTTTGCCATAAAACTGGGTTTGATTCCCCACTCCTCCACTTGCAGCTGCTGGATGACTTTGGGCAAGCCATAGTTCTGTCAGAACTGTCCTTGAAATGGCCATTTTTGAAAGAGCTCTCTTAGCCCCACGGACCTCACAGGGTGTCTGTTGTGGGGAGGGGAAGGGAAAGGAGTTTGTAAGCCGCTCTGAGACTCCGAGTGAAGGGCGGGGTATAAATCCAGTCTCTCCTTCATCTTCTGGGCATGGAGCGGGGGTCACTGGGAGTATGTGAGGGAGGTAATTATGAATTTCCTGCATTGTGCAGAGGGTTGAACTAGATGACCCTGGAGGTCCCTTCCAACTCTGTGATTCTATGAGATGCAGGTTCAAATTCCGACTCAACCAGGAAAGCTCGCTGGTTGACTTGGGAGCAGTCACACATTCCAAGCCTAGCCTACCTCACAGGGATGTTGTGTGGATAAAATGGAAGCAAGGAGAATGATGTAAGCAGCTTTGGGTCCCCACTGGGGAGAAAGGCAGGGCATAAAGGAAGAAATAAAATTCCTAACTTTATTCGTTTACTTTATTTATATCCCATTTTTCTCCCTGACTGAAAGCAGCTTCCATCCTTCTCCTCTCCTCCATTTTATCCTCACAACAACCCTGTGAGGTCAGCTGGTCTGAGAGTGCGTGACTGGCCCAAGGTCTCCCAGTAAGTTTCCGTGGCAGAGTGGGAAACTGAACCCGGGTCTCCCGTATCTTAGTCTGACACTCTAAATGCTGCACTACACTGGCTGTCTCTTTTGAGGACTAGAACCTTGTCCTTGCTTTTAAAAGGCTTTTGTCCCTACAGAATTCAGTAGCAGCAGCAGCAGCAGCAATAAATGCTGATTTCTGGCTCTCGTAATCTCTGGGGTCCTTCAGCACAGATCATTCATCCTTATCCTCAGGCTTCGGTCACACGCGCCACTTGGAATGGTGGGGAAGTGAGGTTATTTCTTCCGGAGGAATTCGACATGCAGTTGCGAGATCACACCTCCCTTTGTAGCTGCGGGCTCAGCCCGTCACTGTGTGATCAGACGCAACCAGGGCTATTTTTGGGCAGGAACGCCCAGGAACGGAGTTCCGGCTGGCTCCGGAGTTGGCCACGCCCAGCAGGAACTCATTAACATAACAGGCCACACCCAACAGCAGAAACTCATTAGGATTGGCTACATTAGGGGCATGTGGCCTAACATGCAAAGGAGTTCCTGTTCCAAAAAAAGGCTCTGGGTTTTGACAACAAACAAGGTAAACAGAATAAGAAGCAAAAGATGGGGGTGGCTGGATGACCAGACTTCTGGTAACATGGGGGTGCGGCCTAATATGCTAATTAGTTCCTGCTGGGCTTTTTCTACAAAAAAAGCCCTGGACGCAACTGTGGGTGAATTGGGTTTTTTTGGCCGTTTGTTTCCCATGCGCATAAACGAGGAATCACACCTCTGCACTGAGGGCCCTCTATGGAGTATGCGATGATGCACATACTGCGAAGGGGGGGGGAGGCACTGAGCTGGGATGGCATGATCAGACCATCCCGATGGCGTGAGAGCGTACTTGTGCGATCAGACAAGGGAAAGTCCATCCGTGGCCCATTGGAACCTGTCAGAGCCGGACGTTCCCTGCTGTCTTTTAACTCCGGTTCTGTGGCGGAACAGCACGGGGTGCCGCCGACGGCGGGACGCTTCCGAGACGTTGCTGTCTGATCGTGCCCTTTAGATCCATCAGGCTTTTGCACCTACGTCGTATCTAAAGGGGCGTGTGATCGCAGCCTGACTGATAAACCAGGATGGCAACAGAATGTACGGGACCTGGAGCAGAAGGTGGTTGTGGAACTTCTTATGCTTATTCCCAGGGCTATTTTTGGGCAGGAACGCACAGGAACGGAGTTCCGGCTGTCTCCCAGGTTGGCCACGCCCAGCAGGAACTCATTAGCATAATAGGCCACACCCAACAGCAGAAATTCATTAGGATTGGCTACATTAGGGGTGTGTGGCTTAACATGCAAAGGAGTTCCTGCTCCAAAAAAAGGCCCTGGGTTTTGACAACAAACAAAGTAAACATAATAACAAGCAAAAGGTGGGTGTGGCTGGATAACCACACTTCTGGTAACACAGGTGCTAATGAGCTGTGCTAGCAGGGGTGTGGCCTAATATGCTAATGAGTTCCTGCTGGGCTTTTTCTACAAAAAGAGCCCTGCTCCTATTCCACACCAAAAACGTAGGATGGTCTTTTCTCCCCACATCATACATGCATTTTTTCTTATCATCAACCAGAAATCTGGACTAGGAGCTGTTGGGGGGGGGACCTTCGGAGACAAACTTGCATCAGCTTTTCATTCTTTCTCTTGCAGGAAATGCACTGCTTCTAGCCTTTAAGAAACTGGTACTGGAGAAGAGGCCTGAGACAAAGAGGGCCCAAACAGTGGGGACGGGAGAATCCATGGCAATGGAAGCAAGTCAGGAGTGTTCAGGCCTGGTGGATCTGGTTAACAATGAGTTTCCCACTCCTGAGAAGCAGCAGTCTTCTAAACCCCACAAAAGGGGGCATAAAAGGATGTCCCCGAGAAGAAATCGCCCCACGAAAAGGCAAGCATCAGCCCCCAAGGGTAAAAAACTCAAAAGAAAAATGCAGAAGACACCGCCGATAAGCCAGCTTGCTTCCAGGCCCGAGATGTCTCAGTCACCTTTGCAAGGAGAAACATCTGGAGAGCAGGGAGCTAGCTCCACAACTGCAACTGCCAAGCCCCGTAAGCGCAAGAAGAGACCCGGCCCGCAGGACAGACCCCCAAAGCTGAAGAAGCAGCCGTCGTTGCAAGGTGAACCTCCCAAACTGAGAAATAAACTAGAGGCAAGCAATGAGCCCCCCAAGCTGAAGAAGGAACAGCCATTGCCAGATGACACACCTCCTGGGGAGAAGAGCCAGCCTCAGGGGGAGAAGAGCCAGCCTCAGGGGGAGAAACAGCCTCAGGAGGAGAAAGAGCCGCCGCCATCCATCGAGGTGAAATTCCCCGAGACCACCATCCCAATCGTCACGTGGCACCCGCCGTTCAGTGCCACGGTGGCTTCAGACCTCGCGTGTCCGGATTGCGGGCGGGCCTTCAGGCAGAGGGCCGATGTGCGCCGCCATCGGTATGTCCACACCAAGGAGAAGCCATACGCCTGCGCGCTGTGTGACAAGCGTTTCGGCCACCCGAGCAACCTGCACATTCACCAGCGGACGCACAGCGGCGAGCGGCCGTACAAGTGCCCGGAGTGCGGGAAGGCCTTCACCCAGAGCTGCAACCTGCGGACGCACCGCAAGATCCACAGCGGGAGCAAGCCGTTCCGCTGCTGCGTTTGCAGCAAGTCCTTCCTCCACCGCTCCATCCTCATCATCCACCAGCGTGTGCACACCGGGGAGCGCCCCTACGCCTGCTCCGTCTGCCCTAAGCGCTTTGCGGACCGATCTACCTTGGTGCAACACGAGCGCACGCACACAGGCGAGAGACCTTATGCGTGCCAGGAATGTGAGCGGAGGTTCAGCCAGCTTTCACACCTTGTCAAGCACACCCGTGTCCACCCAGGTGCCAGAGGGTCACCCCCCAAGTCGTCTCCGGGCCGAAGAACGTTCATGCAGCCAAATCCCAAAGACTTGCAGAAGAACACAAAGCAGCTGATAAATCGATCAAAAACCCCACCTGATCGACTACCAAAGTCTTCCTGATAAATCAGGAAACATATTTTTTAAATAGTCATCTTTCAAGACATAAGCACTTACAAAAACTGTAGGCAGCCCCCTCCTTTCAAAAAGGAGGGCATGTCTCTTTTAAGACGGTATCTGCTGCAACAAGGATGTTTTCTAGAAACCAAATATGCTCTTATTTTTCCCTTTTGGAAGCATTGTTTTACTCGGATTATGGATCAAGGACATTTTCAGTAATCTGACGGTGATAATAATAGAATGGGGCTGCGGTGGCTCAAGGGGTTAAGACGCTGAACTGCAGACCAGAAGGTCGGTAGTTCAGCAGTTCGAGACCTGAGTACCGCATGATGGAGTGAGCTCCCGTCTCTGGTCCCAGCTCCTGCCATCCTAGCAGTTCAAAAGCAAGAAATTGCAAGTAGATAAATAGGTACCACTTCGGTGGGAAGGTCACAGTGTTCCGTGCACCTTGGCGTCTAGTCATGCCAGCCACATGACCACGGAAATGACTTCGGATAGCGCTGGCTCTTTGGCTTGGAAACGGAGATGAGCACCATGCCCTAGAGTCGGATTCGACTGGCTTTCGAGCAAGGGAAACCTTTACCTTTACTAATAACAGTAGAATAGATAACAGACAATCCGCTCAGCTTGAACGGCACCCAAGGAAACTGCCTCAAGGGAAGGCTAGACCTGGCATGCAGGAAGTAAAGAACTACATGTCAGTTCAGAACAAACAGTCCACCCGAACTGGCACCCTATCTTCAGATGGCAGCCAACCAGATTCCACAAGGGTGTGATTCCTTCATCTCTCCGTATCCCAGCCGTTTGGTTGCCAGAAGTGTTCTTATGTGACGAACGGGGATTGCACATCTTCCCAGAACTCTCGTAATGCCTTGTTGGTTCTCTAAGCTTTTAATAAGGGATGTGGGTGAAATGGTTTGCCCAGACGTCTGTGAGGTTGTGCTGGGAAACTATATACAAGTGTGTTGATGGCCAGTGGAAGAAAAGAGTCATCGCCAGGTGACCGAACTGGGGAGCTGGGGGAGGGGACTTGGTGCAGTGGGACAGCACATGTGGAAGGTCTCAGGTTCCATTGCGCATCGTCTCCCTTAGAAAGGGACATTGGGCATGTCACAGGACCTTTCTCCACATGACACTCTGCCAGTCGGAACAGACGATACTGAACTAGATGGACCCATGATACGAGGCATTTTGTACATTCAAACGTTTGTAAAATGATGTGGCCAGCAAGCTGGGTAAACCTTTGTGGACTAGTAACTTGCATGGACTGGTTTTCAAAGTTGCCATCGTTCTTGTCCGTTCATCACTGGCATTCAGTGCCCAGAATTTGCTCTTCTGGCTGAATAACCATGCAATAGCTTTTCATCCTCCTTATATTTATCTGATCCCTTGATGTTTTGTGAACATACCATAAGATGAGTTTGCATGAGTGTGTGTGTATGGGCCAGTGTGCTTCTGTCAAAAATGCTTATATTATAAACATACACAGGTTTGTAGAGCACGTGCTGAATTTTCTGTCATGCCACTGTATCCCCAGTGGGTGAGGAGTTCTGGGCATCTCCTGGAATTTAGCAGTTGGAATGAAAGGGGCAGCTGAGACAAACTGGCATCGGCTTGGTTAACCTCCATCCCTGTTTGAATATGGGACGGCCAAATCGCAGGCAGCGTCCATGAGCCATTTGAACATCAGTGTTCGGTAGCTGCTCTCTGCTTCTGTGGAACTCCCCCTTCTCACTACAGGGGCTCACTACCGCCCTAGCCTGTGCCCATAGAGGAAGCAGAGAAAGTTATCTTTTGGCAAGCATTTAGTTGTTGGGATCAAACCAACTGAAGAGGGCATTTTCATTTAACGTTTTCTTTCTGCCATTTTAGAAAACTTATCCGTTCAGACCCTCCACGAAAAGGTGAGGTGTCTGCTAAAATAATCGACAAAAGTACGATGCAGGTGGGGAGGGAGGCCAGTTTGGGGGAAGGGATGCCGCAAGGGGAATGAGATTAGAATGGACTAAAAGCTACAATACGAAGATTAGGATGAACTAACGACGTTGTGGAAAGTGCTGTTGAGTCACTACCGATTTACGGCCACCCCGTAGGGTTTCCAAGGTAAGGGACATTCAGCAGTGGTTTGCCATTGCCTGCCTGTGTCGGGACTTTCTTGGTGGTCTCCGGTGTTCCCTCTAAGCTGAGTCAGTGTGAGCTAGCTCACAATTTTTTAGCCTCCAGCTCACACATTTCTGTCTCCGCTCAGGAAGGATGGCTCCAGAGCAAACTAATTTATGCAGCAGCCAAATGGCTCGCTCACAACTTTAGTGCCAGTAGCTCACAGAGTAGAATTTTTGAGCAAACTAATTTATGCAGCAGCCAAATGGCTCGCTCACAACTTTAGTGCCAGTAGCTCACAGAGTAGAATTTTTGCTCACAAGACTCCACAGCTTAGAGGGAGCATTGTCTCCCATCCAAATACTAGCCAGGGCTGACCCTGCTTATCTTACAGGATCTAACGAGATTAGGCTAGCCTGGGCCCTCCGGATCAGGGCAGGATAGACCAATTGTTAAAATGAATGGATTTATTGGGTCGGGGTTACAAACAGTCTCTTGTGTAGTCACCTGAAATGAATAAGAATGAAATACAAGCTGCTGGAGTTTGGGGGCGGGGGGGAGAATGGTCTGTGAAATAAGATCTTAGATGGAAGTGAGCGACGAGCTGTTGGATGCATCAACACGTTAAACCAACTGGCTGTTGTTATTGTCTTCGTTATATCTCTTGTTAATGTTGCCCAGAGATGATATAACAATAATACAATGTGAATGGAGGACAGAAACATGTATACTGCTTTGAAGCCACTAGCTAAGAAGAAGAAGAGTTAGATTTATACTCTTGGAGTCTTCACTCGGAGTCTCAAATTGGTTTACAATCTCCTTCCCTTCCTCACCCCACAACAGACACCCTGTGAGGTAGGTGGGGCTGAGAGAGCTCTGAGAGAACTGCTCTTGAGAGAACACCTTTGAGAGAACTGTGACTGATCCAAGGTCACCCAGCTGGTGGCATGTGGAAAAGTGGGGAATCAAACCTCATTCTCCAGATTAGAGTCTGCCACTCTTAACCACTACACCAAACACTAGCTAATAAATTGAGATCTAATCAAGATACCAGAAGAGTTAAATGTGGAGAAAAAGAACTTCTGTTAATAATGTATGTGGATGATATGGTATCTCTCACAAATTTGACAGAAGCTATACAACCTTTTAAAAAAAACTTTGAATTCAATCAAATTTCTGGCCTTAGGGTAAACTTTACAAAATCTCCTCCCTACAATTCAATTGAAAGCCTCTCACACTTTAAATATTCCATTAGTACATAAAAGTTTTAGATATCTTGGAACATCCACTCCAAAAAAACTAAATAAAATGTATCGATATAAAGTATTGTGGAGACAGATGAAATTGGATCTGATTAGATGGACAAAGCAGAAAACAGCTATGAATACTCGAGTTGCAATATCAAAACATCTGTCCTGCCAAAAAAAAATATATATATTCTATGTATTACCTCTTCATATTTCGGATAAGATTTTGGTAGGATTTGCAATTAAAAGTAGATCAGTTTATTTTTAATTCTAAGAGTCCAAGAATGGGGTACTCCGAGTATTTCTTTATACTATGATGTATATCATTTGAGACATTTAATCCCTTGTTTACCCTTCTCTAAGCAAGTAAGTTGGCTAGTATTAGAGAGATTTAAATGTAAAGAGATGGGGGATATCATTCATTATTTGATAATGCTTTGTGTAAAGAATTAAAGTTGAACTCACTGTCAACACTCCATGGCCCTATCCTGGTATGGAGGAAATAGGGAAAGGGTATTGTACCCAGGAATTTCCCCACTGACCCCCATTTTGTGTCACCCAAAATTTGTTTCAGTTAAAAATTGTGGTTCATGGTGCAGAGACTCTTTTCTTAATCAAATAACCTTAATGAATGCAAATATGATGCTATTAAATAATACTCAATTCTGTACTGAAGGAAGGATTTTGGAAGGGACAAAATGGCTGATGAAACATCAAACGTTAAGCTTCCTCCAAAAATAGGAAGTTAAAGATCAAATAAACGACTTCCGGTGGCGGGAAAATGGAATGGCAGCTTAAGCCTTTTGCTCCGCTCACCTTGATCCACACCCAGCCCCCCTAATCGATCATACTGGAGCCTTCATAACCTAATTTATGGGGACAGAAACCGGAACGACTAATCATCCTTATCAGAAAAAACAAAAGAAACTACAACTCTTAGATTCAGAGCAACAGACAGGATTGTCTAACGGCCTTCTTGAAACAACGAGTGACAAAATGGCGTTGGGCATCAATACTGCAGTCAAAGACTCGTCCTCTATAACAGCCACAGACTCAGGGGTCTTGTTGTAGAAAAAGAGCTGCCGGAGCTCATTAGCATAACTCATTAGCATAACTTATTTGCATATGCCACGCCCCCTGACATCACCGGAAGTGACAGAAGGCCACACCCCCTGACATCACCGGAAGTGTGTCAGAAGGCCCGGCTACTTACCCTCCTGCTTCATCCTCATTCCCAAACGGAATGAGGATCGAAGCAGAGGGCGGGGTAAAGAAGGGGGCGGGGCTTCACCACGTGACCGCCCCGCCCCCTAGAGGTTCTCTTCCGGAGCTCCGTACCCGAGAGCTCCCCCCCGACTACAGCCCTGCACAGACTTATCCAATGCACTTATCAATATGGAAAAAACATTCCTTGAACACATCGCTGGAATGTTTAAGCCTCTTTATGAGAAGTGTGAAACTATGCAAAAAAACCTGTTTGATACACGGAACATAGCTGAAGGAGCGTCACAGCGCAGCATTCACAATCAAACCGAAATCCATCAGATCCATATGACTGAAGACCTCTTAGCAGAAAAAACGTTACGTCTCGACTTAACAATGCGACAAAACAACCTCAAATTATGCGGACTAGGAGAAAAAATTGAAGAAAATGGC